CTCCACTGAGAGAAAATGGAATTAAAGGACAAGCGGCAGGGCAGAATTTTGTATCATGAATATGTATTAGCAGGAAGTGCCACATCAGATTGTATAGGCAAATTATTCTAAGTGGAGCTCTTGCTTTCAGAAGGCACACAAAAAGTAATCATTTTTAATTCAGTTCTATATTGCACCAAATACATAAAACTTCTTCCAACAACTTTGTTTGTCTAAATATGCCTAATCTACTTTTATTTTTTTACATGGTTCTTGGACTAGCCACTCGGATAAAGAAAGGCATTTTTATGATTTAAAACAGCCATATTACACTGTTTTATTAAATAAAGGTTAAAAACACTTACAAAAATGTTATTCTTTTTTAAACAAGCTCAAAGTAAAGAGTGTGAACAAAATTGCTCAGGCAATAAAGTGCACTGGGACAGTTTGTCTAGTCATGCTTAATCCATGGACAAGACTTACACAGTCTGAGTCAACAAAATAGTAAAGTGAAAACAAAAGGAACCACATTTTGGCTTAGATATTCATGCATGTTCACAAGCATAGCCATGTCTCCCAGGTGCCCTTCAAGTTCCAATCAAGCTCCAAAAGCCAGGGATAAAATGGCCTTAACACATAGCTACACCTGACTTCTAAGTGGGCCTCAGCTCCTCTGAATGGGAGCATGCAAACACTACGTAGGATCAATGACTTCAAGCATGCATGTTTGAAAGAGACCACATATTCTTCAGAGCGTCTTCCCCCACCTCCCTGTCCCAAGATGCTACCAGAGAACAAAGCCATCTCAATTACTTCCAAGATGTTCCTAAATTGTTTTGCTGATGGGAATTATCAAGCATTTTGTCATTTAAAAAGCATGATAACAGTGTTCTGAAACCGAGAAGGCATGATCAGGTCAGGTTCCAACACCACCACAGTACAGCTATGCTAAGATATCCAAAAGGCAGACCTTTTCCCTCTTTTGCTCCTTGAAGCAAGAAGAGCAGGACTGTATCTTTTGTGCAACAGAACTAAATTTGAGGGCTGGCATGTTGGATACAAACACAAACAAAAGTCCAAGCATCCATTTTACAAAAAAGAGGAATTACAATGGAGCCCTTTGGAAAGTACAAATGACATTTGCATAAGTACCAACACATACATTATGGTCAATGACATCACTACAAATGTCAAAGGAACTAGGAAAGGATATTTTAAAGGCTAGGCCTAAAGCTTTAGTACACCGAGCACAACATGCCCATTAAGCAAAGTCTTAAGATTAATTGTCAATATTTATAACCACAGGTTCAAAAACCTAAATATAGGGGTACGTTTTGTTCTCAGTTAGAAATGAACAATAGCAATAAGTATGGATGAACTGCTACTTAGTCCAGTTTGCAGCAGTCCAGGGGAGAGCAGAACCCGGCTTACAAACTGCAGAGCAAAACAAGGTTTGAAGACTAATAAAGTAATACAGTTATCCATGTCTTACTCACTTGAAAAATTAAGTTTTCTTCTCTAAGCTCAAACTACAGTTTCAATGTTGAAAGAAGGAAATGTTGGAATGAGGAAAGATCACAGGAAATTAACTAATGAAAACAGAAATATTTGCATTAAAAAAGGCACAGGAGTTGTTTATGCCTGTTCTGGAGCCAATACTTGTGAGTGCCAAGGAAATGAAAGATGATACACTACCTATGTGACCTCACTGCATGACAACAAATCATTGTTTCCTAAAATATGCATGTTCATTTTCTTCAGACCAAACTTTGTGACATGGAACTTGAGAGGTCTAATTGTGCTGCATACATCTAAAGTTGCTACTCATACCATGCTACTAGATATAACTATAACACATCAGTTTGCAATTGGCAAGTTTATAACTATGACACTGGCAAGTTTGCAATTGATCTTAGTCAAGCCGTACTCTAGTGTAAAAGAAAGTCCATTCAACAGAGAGAATATTTAATTTAATAAAAAGGGTGTTTCTGCATACAAAGTATCGTGAAATATAAGGCCACAAGAGGATCATGATTTTAACAAAGTGGCTGCATTTCAAAGTAAATTTTTTTGGTGATTTTTATACAAATAAATGGAAGTCTTGAACAGTTCACTAGCTGTGCAAAAATCTACAATAAACTATAAGCATCTGAAAGTCTATAATTGTAGCACAGGAGAAATATAAATCAGAGATCAAGATAACGTGTTTTGTCAGACCTTATTGGTTTTGTGTTTACTGTAAACTGTGGTTTGCTGGCTCCAGTAGGACTGAAGGTAAAATCATTTACTAGTGACAAAATTCTTCAGAAGTAATTGTGAATGTGCTTCCATTTGAGTAATCTTGGCTCATCTAATTTTGCTCAGTTACAGCAACAACTCAAGAATAGAGAAGTTCAAGCTTTTACCTCAAATCACAATGCCTTTCCATTGCAAATGTTCTGAGATGTATTCAATGCATTTTCTGTTCCCCACCCTGCAAAGGATCTTATTTGATGAACAAGTGTGGGTTTCAAGAAGCCTACATCTTTTCCTGGAGACATTCTTAAATGGCAACAGGCTTTTATGTCCAAACCCTGCAATCTCATCTATGAGAGGGTCTGAGTGTGCCTAGCTACTGCTAGATAAGGATCTAAATGCATAACACTCAAAAACACAGTCTGAGTTGACCACCATTAAGAGTTTATACAATACTTTTAACTATGTCTCTTTAGGTTTAATTAAAAGGAGTTTCCACCTTTTGTTATGCAAACTGTTTCACTGACTGTATGCCAGGACCTGATTGAACAAATACAAAAAATATCTTGTATAGAAAATTTTAGTATAAAAAATTAAAAATCACCCTGTTTCACTTTCCATCAAAAACAGTAACAATAAAATGTTCCGTAAGTGAGTCTATTGCCAACATAGATTCAAAAAGTTCAGTTTTTCTGAAGTGCTGGTGATTGTGGTTTCCTAAATATCAAATTAAAAAAACAAAAACAAAAAAAATAATAATAATAAGAGGACAAAAGACTTGCTACACTGAACCAAAAAAAAAGGACAGTTTCTCTCCCCCCTGTGGAAACACACAAAAGCAAACAGAAATTAGGAAGCCATTGTCAATTTTGTTTTAGCTGCTGTAGCACTTCCCAACTGCTAGAAAGTTCCAAGAACAGCTTCTTTATCAACATGTCCACTCAAGTAGGTGGTGGCATGGGGATGAGCATGTTCAATGTGCCAGTGCTTTTCGGTTTCTCCGCTGTAGTGATTCTGTTCAGTTTTCCCACTTCTGTCTGCCAACTGGGCATTTTCTTTGTAGTCATATGGCGCCGAGTGTGTTTTGTCAGGTGATCGCTGCGCATGAAACGACGATCACACACAGGACAAGCAAACTTCTTCTCCCCAGTATGAGTTCGACGGTGGCGAGAAAGTTCATCTGAGCGGGCAAATTTTTTGTCACAGCCTTCCCAGTTGCAGCTAAAAGGTTTTTCTCCTGAATGGATGCAAAGAAAAAGAAAAACAAGGCTTTACTTAAATACATTAAAAAGATATACTAACAAATACAATGAGGTTTTAAGAACCACTGAATTAGATCCCAGCCTTGGAACCATTTAAGCACCTGACTAGATGAAACTAATGTGTGTGGTTATGCAGTGGTTGCTGGACTGAGTCTTACGCAACAGCATAATGTTTAGCATTTTAATTTTTTTGTTAAACATTTTCCCTAATCTAGGAACTGTTCAACAAGATACTCTTCATAAAGCTACAATATCTTCTGATACTAAATTCAAAACTCTTTCCTTACTACTAAGAGTCAAAGCCTGTGCCACACTGTCAGGAAGACCTGCTATCTGCAATAAAGTCTTGGATCTGATCTCAGTTTTCATGAAAAATCCATCCATTTCTGCAAATGAACACACCCTCTCCCCCTCCAGCTGCTCACAGTAATGATTCAAAATCTCAGACTCAGCTATGGTTCTGTTTCTCATTAGAACCAAACTGTTCATCAATTTCCCCAAAAAGTAGTTATCACATGTATGCAGCAAATGTGTGCAGCAGGCCAAATTCAAAGGCCGATTCTGTTCCCTGGACACCTACACTTCACATGAGACTTCAAACAGGAGTTTTTGGATGCCCAAGGGATGCAAGAGTGAGCTCAGGGTTGTAAAATTGCTTGTTAGTGTCTGATAACCGCATGCACATATTACATAGTAGCAAACACAATGCACCATCATTTCCAATACGAAACTGTTCCGCACCTATAGCGCAGCCCTGCAGTTTACACCAGCTCCTGACCTGTGTGCCAGAAGCAGTGCCAGGTGGACACCAGCATCAGCTTTGGATGCAGACAGCAGCTTCCCCCTGGGGATAAGGGTGTCCTTCTAGGTCTGCAGGTAATGCTGCTGCATCAGCTGTGGTTCCAGGCAGTTGCCCCGATCTCTGGCAGGAACCTGCAGGCAGCATCTACAGCGGATGCTAGCATGCACCCAGTGTTGCTTCCAGCATATGGGGCGGGAGCTGGTGGATGGGGCCCATGCATGCTTGCCCACCTAGCACAATGCAGGAATTGGAACCACTGGCTCCCTATGGGCCAGATCCTGACTTCGGGGCTGCCAACCTACGTGCTGGACACAATCAGTTGGTGGGCCAAATCTGGCCTGTGGGCCATAGTTGGCCTACCCCCCCACCCCCGGTTTTAGATGCATGTTCTAAAGCACCTGCCTTAATTCCCTGGCTATTCTGCACTGTGCTAATTAGCTGAGTAACCCACTACAGCCAACTCACCCTGAACAGCAGAGAGAGATGCAGCTAACAAATTAGGCTATGGCTTCCAACAGCACATGCCTTTGAACCAGTTAGTTTGTGAGGTACCACCCTGCCCTAGCTTCTGCCTCAATGGCAATGAGTAAGAGCATTAGGTTCTCATTTGTGGAGAATATGGAAAAATAAATATTCCCTTTCATTTTTAGTGATAAACTATTGAACTAAATAGAAATCTAAACTTGTGCCCTGAACTCACCTTGCACCCTCCTGCAGACTGCCCTCCCTTTTTGTGAAAGCCACCATCAGTGGGATTAATCAAGGTCTGTTGGAAGAGAATTTGTCCCCGTTTGTCCTCGAAGGATATATGCCCCTCTTTGCCCAGTAGGAGTAAAAGGATTCTAGGCCACCCACTCCCCCCACCCCCATCAGAATCCCAAAGCGATTCCCCTTTACCAAACCAAGAGGACTCATTCTGTGGAACGCACCAGTGTGAGTACGAAGATGGGCTTTGAGGTGAGAACTTTTAAAGTACGTTTTCCTGCAGCCTGGGAAGTTGCAAACATAGTTTCTCCTTCGACAGAAGTCCATCTGAGGTGCACAGCTTTGACCAGAAGTAATGAAAACTGGAGCAGGAGCAAGGGGCAGTAACTTGGTGCTTCCAACGGTCATTACTGTTTGTGGGCACTGTGGTGTCTGTGCAACAGCAGTTTGTGGAAGAACCAACATAACAGCCCCCTGAGGCACAGAAGGTCCCATGAGCACAGGCTGAGAAATTGGGGCTGTTTGGGGCAAAATAGGTTTGACAGGTGTCGTGACTGTCTGAGTCGGAGGCTTCAGATAGGCAGAAATCATTCCTCTTTGGCTGTTCAGAGGGATCATTTGACAGAGGACTTGAGGGTTTGAAACTGGGACAGGTGTTAGCTGGGTGGCTTTTTTTTGTAGGTTATTTTCACAAAACTTTGGTAAAGTAGTCTGTGGGGAAACAGACTGTACTGACTGTTCATCTTTACAGGTAGCATTGTCACTGGAGTTGCGCAAACAGGGCTGGTGTTGTGGTGAAGTTTTGCTAACTAAGCCACCAGGAGTACACTTGTCTTGTGAAACTCTGGAATGTTTTTGATCTTCTGCTCCACACCAGTCTCTGGAATTGCCATTGCCTGAAGTTACCTTTATTTTCTCTTGCACAGTAGGAATGTGGTGGTAAGCAGAACTATCGCCCGTATGACGTATCACGCTAGTTGCCATGGCCCTGCAAGGTGGAAGGCCAGGGGGTTCAGATATTGCTGACTTCTGACTGGACTGCCTCTCCATATTTATGACAGATGGTGTGGCTACAGCAGAGGCACAGTTTGTGGATGTGACTAAGCAGGCAGATGTATTTGCCATAACAGTCCTTGGTTTGGAATAAGTGACTTGTGAAGAGAGGAGCATTGCAGCAGAGGGCTCAACAAAGTCAGGGCTGTGAGGCGGGGTCATGCACTACAAAAAGAAAACAATTACTACAGCCTTGTAATACAACATAATGCCAGGTACAAATGTACCTTTGGGATCTCTAGTGTTGTTTATAAAGAAATACATCTCTGATAAACATTTACAAAGCAACAGAGATTCTCAGGGACCACATTTTACACAGCGAAGACTAGAGGTGCACCAATAAAGATTTTGTTGGCCAATACCAAAAACTGATTATTAACCAAGCATATTGGCTGATGCTGAGCCAATTACTGATATTTAGTAGTAATGCAGGCATTTTAAAATACTGACATAAACCTTTTTTTGGGGTGCGCTCTAGCAGCCTCCTGCATTTCATGCATCAGTGCCCCTGGGCTTAAAAATGGTAGTAGGGGCACTTGAACTAAAGCTTGTCAAATGAGTTTTAGTTCAAGCAGCCCCAGCACCATTTTTAAGCGTGGTGACACTGATACACGAGACGCTGTAGCACTAATTAGAGTGGCTGCTGGAGCTGTTCTAATTAAAGTGCTGCCCTCCCCCCACAGCATGTGTAGAAGTGCCTATTGCCAATGGCAGCAGGCAGGGCTGGCCTAGCAGTGCCTGTGACTGGCTGTGTGGAGCCCTGCAGCCACCTGCTCTTCCACATGATGCCCTTGAACCCCAGCCTGGGGGAGCTGCCTGAGCCTGCCCAGCAGGCCTGACAGGGGAAGTGAGAGACTTTCTGGCTGCCCAGGGCTAGGTGGTCTCTGGGCCAGATTCCCAGCTCTCCTCCCTCTGCCCAGGGCAGGATCACAGAACCATTCCAGGCCTGGAGAAACCGGGCTACTTCTCCCCCACAGCCTGACTCTGGGTCCCGGGAGCTGGACTCCAACAAAATGGGGGGGGGGG